TATTATATTCTATGTCTATCCCCATACAACATGATACACAACACTACTACCACACCACCATGATCTATAAAACTACTGATAGTATATTATATTCTATGTCTATCCCCATACAACATGATACACAACACCACCATGATCTATAAAACTACTAATAGTATATTATACTCTATGTCTATCCCCCATACAACATGATACACAACACCACTACCATACCACCATGATCTATAAAACTACTAATAGTATATTATATTCTATGTCTATCCCCATATAACATGATACACAACACCACTACCATACCACCATGATCTATAAAACTACTAATAGTATATTATATTCTAATGTCTATCCCCATATAACATGATACACAACACCACTACCACACCTCCATGATCTATAAACCATTAATAGTATATTATATTCTATGTCTATCCCTATACAACATGATACACAACACCACTACCACACCTCCATGATCTATAAACTACTAATAGTATATTATATTCTATGTCTATACCCATACAACATGATACACAACACCACTACCACACCTCCATGATCTATAAACTACTAATAGTATATTATATTCTATGTCTATCCCCATATAACATGATACACAACACCACTACCACACCTCCATGATATATAAACCACTAATAGTATATTATATTCTATGTCTATCCCCATTCAACATGATACACAACACCACTACCACACCTCCATGATCTATAAAACCAAACCATGGTACAAATACCTATCCCCATTCAACATGATACACAACACCACTACCACACCTCCATGATCTATAAAACCAAACCATGGTGCAAATACCTATCCCCATTCAACATGATATACAACACCACCATGACCTATAAAACTACTAACAGTATATTATATTATATGCTTAACTATTTCACTGTTCATTCTCTTTCCAGATCTTCATCCCATCAATAGCTCTTCACTCGGGCACTACTCGGGCTTTTCTTTCGGTCCCGACTAGTGAAAGTGGGTTTTCTCGGGTTACTCCCGTTTCCCCCCATATCAAATTCTTAGGCATTGGATCTATAGATCCCAGCCATGGCACTTGGATCCAATGATCCCCGCCAGGCCCGTTTGCCTCGTTTTATTTCGATAACTTGTCAACAACGGCTGTCGACTTGCTTCTTCTACAAAATCAACCGACCTCTGCTACGCCTTGGACTTGCCTTCACTTCCGCCTACTTGCCTCATCATCATATATATATATATATTCGTTCCCTTTACTTATTTACTTATTATCATTATTATTAATTAATTATTTTCCTACTTCTTCGCCCATATGGCTCATTAAATCGCTGACCACTCATTGAACTTTAACCTCTTGCCTCGAGCACCCCCTGATTATTAATTATTTCCCCTGAAATAATTAAGTTTCAATCAAAATAACTGCCAGAAATATGCAAATATTGGTAGTTATAGTGACTTATTGGGTGATTGTTGGGAGTTATACTAGTTAGTATAGTTAGTTTAGATAACTTGGTTGGGATTTTATAGTAGTATAATTTGTCTACTGTACCACTAATTAGTGCTTTACTACTATAATGGGAGCTAGAATACCAACCTCAGGAGGTAAGTTTATCTTACTTACACCCAAGTGGTAGTACCTTATTTCGTTTTTATTTTTCATTTATTTATTTATTTTATTTTACTTTGGAGACCAGCCACCTTCCCACAACTGTCTGCAGGCAGTGAAAGGTGATAATAGACGTGGGACGTTGTGGGCTCGAGCACCCAAATCTCGCTCTCCTAATTTCTACTTCTTTTGATTATTTATTTTTTGAATTTCTTCATGTGAGATTGGCGAACGGAGGTTAATACTGATAGACGGTGTATCCCCAACGCAATGTGGATCCTACTTCCGCAGTCATCTCCAAAACCAAAGGCAATTTTATATCCCACATTATAGCCTGTACCCTGGGTATGCTCTTGATTTGTGCAGCATCTTTGATTTGATTTTTGTTTGGGATTGTTTTTGTTCATTTGGATGTCATTTATCACAGGTTGGGATTTGCTGTTTTTAACGCAGTTCTTTTTGATTTTGTTTTGTTTGACTGTTTGAGTACTGATTTTCTATACAATGGTGTATTTATTATATTTTGCTTTTGGAATATATTACATTCAAACGTGGTTCATAGCAAAGCTACTTATATGAAATTACAAAAGTTTAGCGTCATCTAAGATTCGGGTAGTTTATATTGGTGAAAGAAAATATCATTATGGATTAGCGAGTGTTTTCGTTGCCATAACAGACTGTGTCAAATCAATTTCTATTATTATCATACCTAAATGTTTCAAAATCAGGGAACATGAATTCACTACAACTCGGGAATATAGATAATGAAAACACGAATTCACTACAACTCGGGAATATGGATAATGAAAACATGAATTCACTACAACTCGGGAATATGGATAATGAAAACGTGAATTCACTACAACTCAAGAATATAGATAATGAAAACATGAATTCACTACAACTCGGGAATATAGATAATGAAAACGTGAATTCACTACAACTCAAGAATATAGATAATGAAAACATGAATTCACTACAACTCGGGAATATAGATAATGAAAACGTGAATTCACTACAACTCAGGAACGTGGATAACGAAAACATGAATTAACTACAACTCAGAAACGTGGATAGAGAGATGATATAAAATGTTTGCAACTGTATGCTATCTGTAAGAGTTTCATTAAAGTCTAGCCCCCCAGTAGCTCAGCGGTATGTCTGCGGACTTACAACGCTAGAATCCGGGTTTCGATACCCGTGGTGGGCAGAGGACAGATAGCCCATTGTGTAGCTTTGTGCTTAACTTCAAAAAAACAAAAAAAAACAAATTAAAGTCTAAAATTCCATAAATCATGAACAGTTGTATGGTTACATGTATTTAGAAACAATGTGATCTATATTCTTTTACAAAAGGTTCTGCAATAACACATTAAATATTTTTGCAAGTTTTTATGAAAACGTAAGAAAAATGACTTTTTTTATTAGTTTCTCAAGTAATGAAAAATAAAGAAGCTTAGGGATCGATGTCATCAGGCAATCTCACAAACAGAATAGCGAACTCGTACACAAGAGCTACATCCCCATCATGAAAGACTTATTGCCTTACAAGCAAAGAGAATATTTGTTTTTGGGAAGATCGAATAATATTAATATTTTTTCATTATTCACATGTATCAGTTACTTGTTTTACTGAGAGGACTGTAAGACCCAAAGGAAACATGTCGAAAACATAACTTATATATAATGTACAACAATAAATATATGTACTTCCTTTTAATGACATCTACAGTATATTGGAGGTTACCAAAGTTTTGCTTTCTCTGATTTTTTCTTTGTTTTTAATACACCTTTAACAAACTTTGGAGTTTAACATTTACTTAGAATTATATTTTAATTCACATTAACTTAGTTATGGAGAGCAGGTTATTTGTGCGTACACTAGTGACTAAAGACAACAAATTCAAAACTGTTATAATTCCAAACAGAAAATAAAAGTTTGATCTATCTGAAATAATATAGAGATTTTTATCTTTTAACAACCTTTCCAACTTAGCTATATGAAACTCGTACCTGGTAAAGTTTGATGATATTTGGGTGCGACAGTTGTTTCATTATCTGAACTTCTCGGTACACTTTCTCCAAGTTTACTTTATCCAGATGAGACTTGTCGATAATTTTGATAGCCACCTAGTAAAGAAAACTAAATTTAGTATTTTAATATCCCTGACCAACAGATAAAACATGGAACATGATTGTTTGACTTTCGCGCAAAGCTACACGAAGGCTATCTACGCTAGCCGTCCCCAATTTAGCAGTGAAAGACTAAAGGGAAGACAGCTAGTCATCACCACCCACCACCAACTAGTCATGTCGGGCCAGATAGAATGTCCGTATACATTAAAGGGTAGAAAAGTTTAATTTCTTCCCCTAACCACCAGGGCATGCCGGGCCAAATAGAATGACCGTATACATTTAAGGGTAGAAAAGTTTAATTTCATTTCTCTTCCCCTAACCACCAAACCATGCCGGACCAGATAGAATGACCGTATACATTTAAGGGTAGAAAAGTTTAATTTCATTTCTCTTCCCCTAACCACCAGGCCATGCCGGGCCAAATAGAATGACCGTATACATTAAAGGGTAGAAAAGTTTAATTTCATTTCCCTTTCCCTAACCACCAGGGCATGCCGGGCCAAATAGAATGACCGTATACATTAAAGGGTAGAAAAGTTTAATTTCATTTCCCTATAATTAAAGACTAAAATATCATGCCTCCTCACAAAGGATGATTACTTGCTATTCTTGTATGAATCGTTGGTGAATTATTAAATAATAGTTATTTTACTTTCAGAAAACAATTCGTCCTGTTCATAAAACTATACCGAAATATCATGCCTCCTCACAAAGGATGATTACTTGCTATTCTTGTATGAATCGTTGGTGAATTATTAAATAATAGTTATTTTACTTTCAGAAAACAATTCTTCCTGTTCATAAAGAAGTCTAAAAACCGCACACCATTTACATTCCAAAGGTTTTTTTGGCGAAAATACGAAGCCTTGCTATCATAGTTACCTAAAATATGGCAAGCACAAGAGGGGCTTCAAGTTCTAAAATAAAACTTTCCTGTAGCTCTTCTAAATATTACCACTGTGGTGTGGAGCCTTGTGTCACGACCTTGGACTTCAGACTAGTAGTGTTAAAACCCTTGTTTGTTTCAAGAAAGTACATGTACAAACACTGAAAAAATCTGAGTAATAAAGAGAGGAATAAATAGACATAACTAGAATTATTTTTCGCACCTCTTTTTTTAGAAAGAAGTGAAAAAAAAAGAATAACATCCAGCAAAATAGGAAACTTTCAAAAGAAACTTTTCCTCAGAACAATGAAGCCATTAAGTGAAAACCGGTATATATAAGTATGTATTTTTGACATTGTTCTTTCAGGAATATACACTATTTATAATGATTTATTAATTTATTAGACCTTTCTCTAATATCGGGTTGGACCATATTTCTGTGAGATGCTAGCCTGCACTCCACAAAATGTCACAGGCGGTTCGACATAGAACATGGTAAGCAAATGGTTCACTCAAGTTCGTAAAGGATTACAGGGTAAATGTGACATTCAATTTCCTTTCAGGCAAACTCAGTTGTGCAGGTCAAAGACGATTAACTACCAACTAGTCTAGGGCAATATGAATGCAGTAGATTGTTCCATTGTCCATCACGTTCCACTGCAGCATTTTAGGATGACTAGAATAACACTTTGTTCTTCCTTCTTACAACGGAATCACAGACTCATTCCCTATCATGAAAACCTTCTCAACACTTTTACATCATTCCCCAACATCTTGAATTTCTATAAAACAAAGTAGATACATATACGAACTTTAAGTATTATTTACCCATATATCTTTCTGCACACTATATTTTAAACACTTTATGGTGAAAAGATACTATAGTATGAGATTAACGATACGTACGTTTGAACTACGTTTTTTGAGTAAAGTACTGACATTAACAATAAACTAAAATACACTCCCGAAACAAAAAAATCAATTACTGCATACAATCACTTGTAGCTTATGATGACTCAACCTGGTATGAGGTGTGATAATTGGATGTAAGCACACACCGTAAATATATGATTAGTTATATAAAACATACAGAAGAAATGTTTTGTCCAATATATGTGATATTTACTCGTCTTATCACCCTTTCAATAGGGACTAAGGTTATTCTTCTTGTCTTGTCAACGTCCTGTGGTGTCATTTGGCCCTTCTTATTATATATAAATGGAGGTACGTTCAAGAATAATCCTTCAGGATAATATCCTCTACATTAAATTCCTTATCTATCGTTATGCAATCTCCTGGGCTTAGATTTTCCAGTATAACAAAACTATACCGAACCCGAACTTTGTCACTCTGATAGTCTGGCCACAGTCTAGAATATACGGATGTAACCATGAAGAGTTGCACAAACCAACACTTTGAAGTTGTTATAATGTTTGTGTAACTCTCTGTGTAGCAAGAGCTGAAGGTTTTGGATCTTTACTTCAGCACAAACAATTATTAGTCTTATGTTTGGATAAAGTGAAAATCCTTAATAACTGATATTTTCCTTAATAACTGATGATGTAGGAAATCGTGACAGAAGTTGTAGTTTATAGTACAGAAAAGTTATCTAAGTTGTACAACAACAGGAAAGGTAAGCTTGAGAGATATTAAAATTTCTGTTTGTTTACTTTTATTATTGGAATTCCCAGTCTTAAGACGCATAAGTCGGGATATGTTTTGCTCTAGGGTAATATGATATTTTCGAAAAACCGTTTACGTTTTATTGCATCAGTAAGTTTTGTGCCTTTCCAAAATGTCATATTACATGCTTTTTCTTCGAAGTATGAGCAGAGTGATGTAAGTATTGTGTAAGAAGGTAAAACTGTATAATAAATAAACGTACGATTATCGTTAGATACTTTGAAATTCAATCTTTTTTTTTTTCGGAAGCAATTTCTAGCTCTTTTTTCGATTATTCATTATATTTCTCAATTCAATACTGAATTCTTTCTTTCTTTCTGAAGGTCACAAAATGTAGTTTTTATCTGGCATTCTGCCATACATTGGTTTAATTTTTCCCAAAAACGATAATGCCACAGAAACCCTGGAATGTTCATTCACACATGCAAGCTTGTTGAATTCATATTAGAACCTAAGAAGACAAAAAGAAAAACAGATATTTAAATTTTTTCTACTCAGTAATTCTTGTATGAGCTTATTGCAAGTATATTCATAATTTCTAATCCGAAATAGAAATGAATCAATTAACAGTAAGTATATGTGATAATTGTTACACTGTTGATACTGACTTATGATAATTGTTACATTGTTGATACTGACTTATGATAATTGTTACACTGTTGATACTGACTTATGATAATTGTTACATTGTTGATACTGACTTATGATAATTGTTACACTGTTGATACTGACTTATGATAATTGTTACATTGTTGATACTGACTTATGATAATTGTTACATTGTTGATACTGACTTATGATAATTGTTACACTGTTGATACTGACTTATGATAATTGTTACATTGTTGATACTGACTTATGATAATTGTTACACTGTTGATACTGACTTATGATAATTGTTACATTGTTGATACTTATGATAATTGTTACACTGTTGATACTGACTTATGATAATTGTTACACTGTTGATACTTACTTATGATAATTGTTACATTGTTGATACTGACTTATGATAATTGTTACATTGTTGATACTGACTTATGATAATTGTTACACTGTTGATACTGACTTAAGGTTTACATACTTTTAAATTAAAGTAAACGTTTATACATCACGAAGAAGAATTTCATGAAGTGAAAAAGTGTTATTTCTAAAATTTAGTGACCGTCTTTAGAAACACTAGGCACTTTACAGATATTACACAAAAGAGCTACACCGAAATGCACTTTTTTGTTAATTCTCGCAAGTCCACAAAGTATTTAAAGGAAGTTATGTTCTCTGATAGAATGTGAAAGCATAAGTGTTTTGAGATATTTCAATAATGCTGTTTTAGGCATATTTCATTCTTCTTTCATGATGTTTCAGTTATGAAATTCTATAATATCTAATCTGGGTCTGTCTAAGACGGTTGTAAACGGTCTACTAAACAATCGTATTGCATATACACTCTGATACAAGAGATTGGGTTGGCTGCACATTTTATATTTAGTCATCACTATTCTTAAAAAAAAATCACCGTTTAATTGTTTTAACGGTCATCTGCTAGCTAATCAGAATGTTTGATCATCAGAAATTAATTTGTATAAGTAAAACCCGAATGAGAGTGGAATTTAACATCTGATTCTGCTTAATGGGAAGGGTATGTATCAGCTCTTTCTAACAAGAACTATTCATATTCTCCTCGGACCATAAAGATAAATTCAGATCGGGGACTTAGTATTTCCACGAAGGAGACATTCTTTGTATTTAATAACATTGAAAAACAAACAATATGGATCAAGACGTTTGGCACAATGAAAAACCAAAGTCTGTAAGTACTCTTGGAATCATAAATGCTATAAAACGAATTCCTCTGGTAGAAATTATTTAACATAGTCATTGACAAATACAGAATTCCTCTGGTACGAATTATTTAATATATCCATTGACAGGTACAGAATTCCTCAGGTACGAATTATTTAACATAGTCATTGACAATTACAGAATTCCTCTGGTACGAATTATTTAATATAGCCATTGACAAATACTTAATTCCTCTGGTACGAATTATTTAAAATAGTCATTGACAAATACATAATTCCTCTGGTACGAATCATTTAACATAGTAATTGACAAATACATAATTCCTCTGGTACGAATCATTTAACATAGTAACTGACAAATACAGAATTCCTCTGGTACGAATTATTTAAAATAGCCATTGACAAATACAGAATTCCTCTGGTACGAATTATTTAACATAGTCATTGACAAATACATAATTCCTCTGGTACGAATCATTTAACATAGTAACTGACAAATACAGAATTCCTCTGGTACGAATTATTTAAAATAGCCATTGACAAATACAGAATTCCTCTGGTACGAATTATTTAATATATCCATTGACAAGTACATAATTCCTCTGGTATGAATTATTTAACAT